TCAATATTTTGTTGATGCCCGCGGCTACCAAATCCAAGGGTTCTCATTAATCTATGACCTGCAGACTTTTTTCTAGCCGGCAATGAAGGCGGAACTGTCGTTGATTGGCTTGAATTACTGGAATGACTAGATAATGCTGATGATACAGACGACCGTTTTTTGTCTGGGACCATTGGTATCAATGTAGGCATTGATGATAAGTATGACATCAAAATTGGTGGTGGAGGTCTGTAAGAGGTGTTCCTCGAAGTTTTAGAGGTTAATTTATTATTTTTCTTCTGTCTATTATTGTAATCTTCATTGAAAACATCAAATTTATTATTGCTAAAGGTTGGTAAAGGAATCCCTAGGAAATGAATATGGTTCCATGCACGATCAGGCGCATGAAACATGAGACCCCGTAAAATTTCTATTCGTGACGCAGTGTCATTTTTGTTGGTCCGTAGGCTCTTAAGATCGGAACTTTCATCGTTGTCTTCATTACTATTATTTGACAGATGAACATTTTGAGCAGAAGTTGCACGATTCAGCGATAAATTTCTCGACGAAATGTTTAAACCCATTGATCTACCACCAAAACTATAAGCTTGCATTGTTCTTTGGCGATCCCACTCTATAGCGGTCATTGTCCATGATGCAGCATTCCATTGTTGCCTAAGAATAACAATTTCTTCTTTTATAATATCAAGGGCTTGCTGAAGTTTTCTTGCATCGTCAGGAACTTTCAAGAGCTCATCTGGGTCAAAAAAGAAATCGTCTACATTGTGCTCATTGATCTCAGCGAAATTATCAATTTTCTGCAGATGTTGAACCAATTCATGAGTGAAATAAGTTCGACTAGCTTGCAGAATTTGCATCGCGCGACGAGAACATGCATACAAAGAGGTATTGAATGCAGCATTTTGTAAAGCATCATATAGTGGAAATGGATACAGCATGCATAACGTAGAATAATATGGATCACGAATTTGATGAGGTTGCCGCATAGGTTTAACTACCAAAACGATGCGAACGAACGGTTTGATGGAATTAATATTGTTGAAAGATGTATTTGATGATGCTAAAGTTGCCTCCTCAGCGACCGAAGTTGCGGCTCCCGTCGAAGCACATGATTTTACATTTGATCTTATCTCATCATCATCATCATCAGATTCTTTATATTTGACCCCATTAACAATATCGCCGTCAACATCTTTCTCTCTGTTATCAGCAGAAACAACGAACACAAAATCTTCTTTATAATTCATCGATTCATTTTGTTCAATATCGTTATATTGTTGATCGGATTTAGGAGTCGAACCTTTCGTTCGGTTTTCCGCATTTTCCTCAAATCTCAGATCAATCTGTTGAGATAATTTGCTACTACGTTTACTACTCTTGGACCCATTTTTTGTATTAGGATCCAGGCATAGATCAAGGTGGGAAGTTCCGCATTGCTCGGTGGTGATATTATCATCGAGTTCACCCATCATTGTGTATAATTGATTTGTTTGTAGGTCCAGATAAATGTCCACAGTCTGTTCGTTGTATATATCGCCAACTTCCCACGTTAAATTTGTATCACGTTGTAATTTGTGATATGATTCTACAAACGAAGCTTGGAACTGTCCTAAATTTGATTTGTTCTCATCGGTTCTAGTTGAAGATGCCAAGTCCATAAAACAAGCTTGACTCAAGCACGTCAAAGATTTAATCCAACTAGCTTCCTCAGAAGTTATTGTGGCCTCCTCACGAATTTTATCCAGGGGAATAAGATGTTTACGATCTTTTGGTACTAAAATTTTTATACCTTGTAGTGTACTTTCAGTGTATAAGACGCCCAAATAAAGTCCGGGTGATAATTTTGTTTGCCTCGAACACCAGTTCTCAATGTATTTTACCCAAATCGGATGAAAATCTTTTTGATAGATGTTATTGATCTCATCGAAATTTTTCCATTTCAATATTCCAGCTTTGAGCAGATCGGGGGCAATTTCTTCTCTGGTACTGTTCGGAACATGCTGTATGGACACAATGAATTTAGATTTCGTTGAATTCACTGGTACCACATGTTCATACATTGTACCCAATGATTCTAAGGACAACTCATTTTTTAACTTTATGGCAGCTTGAGCGAAAGAACGTGACCATAAGGTATCGTGATCGCAGAAGTAGTAATTCTGAGAGAAGGCAGGTGTTGAATCAGTTGAATCGCCAGTGCTTGAATTTGAATGAATCGAATCCGTATCACTTGAAGTATCATCTTTCTCATTATCTGCTGAGGTTGTCCAATCCAATGAGGTTCTTATAACTTGGGCGAATTCATCACTGTCATCCTCAAAATTTCCAAATATTTTACTGTTACGTATTACCTCGATGGTAGGAAACATTCTACTTCCGGAAGTTATTAGAACTTTACCGTCACTTGCAAACAAAATTGTTGTCAGATAGATGGTTTCAGTCTGAAAACGAGTCTTCAAACATGTTTTCGTACTGCTGAAAACACCTCGACGTTTTGTCTGTGCCGCAGTATTTGGACTTAGAGTATTAGATGACGTTCGGCGCTAATTGAATAACAAGAGACGATCGGTTTGATACAAGAAAAAAAATAAGATTACAAGCATACACCATCATAATGCGAGACGTGAAGACAAACCTTCATGGGATTTTCTTCATTATATACAATTTCAATATAGCCGGGTGTTTTTTTGCGTACAATCAACGTATCCTATTTATCAATTTTAAATTAAGAGAAATGAATGAAAAACTAATCAAATAAGAAGAAACGACAGGCAATATACATACTTCTTCAGGATATGAAGAGAGTAAGTGAGTTTCACACAACCATGTTTTGAAAAGTTCACTATATAAAGCGTAATTCCAAGAATCGTAGATGCCTAATTTTTTACAAGCCTGATAAATTACGAATAGGAAGCGGTTATAAAATCATGCGATCGGTTATTCACACAAACATTTGGATCGTGAATGAAGTTACCCTTTCGAGCACAGCCTGAACAGAAGCTCCCTGTGAATAACCAACACCAACAGGTACGCTACGAACACCGCGACCCTCAAGCCGTACTTGTATCATACAATAACTAAATTGATATATAAAAAAGAAATCAAGAACAAAGTAAAAAAAAATAATTTGTCAGACAAAAAAATAAGGGAGGCATACAAGTCCATAGTAATCTTCGCGATATTAAATATTATTGCCGCTAACTTGTATTAAGTGTATCTATATTATATATACTTTGTCTATTTCGTTCTAATTCCAGAGAACGGCAAGTGTAATAATATATTTTATAAGAGGTGTGTCACTAAATATACATCATAATAACGCGCCAGGACTTATTAAGAATCTTCTACGTGTAAAACTTAAGTAGAAAAGAAAGAAAGGTTTGAATTGAATATAGGAAAGTAGTAGAGGTGAAAATGAGCAAGCTGTCCAATTTATAAAGAGGGATTTTATATTTGCGGCATGTGAATAGACGGAAATACGTATTTAAATTCGATTTAAGAATAGAATTGGTAATTTTTTAAATTCGAATCGAGTGAAACACATAATTTATCGACATGCATTGAAAAAACACGCTCGAAAGATGAATTAGTTACACACACATAATTGTTATCAACAAAAAAAAATTTTCTTATTTGTTACATGATATTTGTATTTATTGAGTTAAAAATATATACAGTCCAGTAGCTTGTTATGTATTAGGGAAGTGATTAAAAAGTTTTTTTTGTAATTAAATGGTTTCCATTATTATGAAATTATCCGAATTTATTGATGACACAATTTTTGAAACAGTAATCTTGAGCGATTCTATATTTATAATAATCAATTTACAGTATATATTATTTATAAATATAATTTAATAATTTAATTAAAATGAAACTTTAACCAACTTACTGTATATCACGGTATACTGTATATTGCTTCTTAATAATTTAATTTTCAAAATTAAACTTCAATTTTATTTATGTTCTTTTAATTCAAAAAACAAAATATACAATTATGTAACATGTATAGCATTTTTAAATAAATTGTTATCCAAAAAATAATATTTTTTATTAAAAAATCATACTGTTTGTAAAAGAACGGACACTTCTTTGTTTAAAACTACAGATAAAACACAAAAAATGAAAATGAAATTTCATCTTATCAAAAACTAGATTTCTACCATTTGTACCTCATTATCAACTACCGAATATTCAGAATCCTCAACCAAAATTTCTACCACACTTTCGACATTCCCTTGATGTATTTTCAGTAATTCCTTGTTCCTATTATCATCATAAAATCCCATTAAACGTAATGTTTCTAGTTTTTCTTTTGTCTCTTTATCCACAAGTTGTTCGTTTTGAAAATCATAAATTCTGGGTGTACTTGTGGCCGCCTGATTCACATGTTGAGTCGAATTATTGTTTATAACATTCTGTGGATCAAAGGACGGTTCTTCAGAATGCTGTTGGGCAGAACTCGTTTGTTTTTCATCATTACTCTCATTATTTATAACATTATAGAAATTTCTTTGTGCCTCTGCAACTTTCTCGTTAAACCAATGAGTCCACTGATCAATATCCACTGGAATATTACGCAAAATTTGGTCCATGATATTGTTTGCTTGTTCAATTAGTTGCGGCTGTTGCTCTATCATTGGGCGTAATTTATCAATTACTTTTTGAAATTGTGTCGCTAGATCAATGAATGGCGCCCTCGTTTGTTCTTCGTTGCATTGTTCACCCAATATAGACGAGTCTGAATTATCATTGGAAATCTCTGCTTTCTGTTTTCCCTTTACGAACGAAGGTGTTGGAATGGACGAAGGTTCGTCGTCCGCCACCGTCAACTGCTGAGAGTTCGAAAAATCATGTAAAGAAGGTTGCGAAGGTTGATCAACAACTTGCTTATCGTTACTTTCCTTGCCTTCTTGTTTTTTATTATAGGGAATAAGGAAAAATCTCAGGGTAGTAGGTTGTTGCACTTGAGAAAAGATATCTTGGAGTTCTAAATCTGAGGACAAAGTGATTACGTCACCGTCCTCATCAGTGTAGGAGAGAGCAAAAGAGAAGGTGGGAGGAAGCGAGAATAAAGTCCGAAGATTGGACTCAAGTTCTGACCAAGTAATGGTCTTTGGAACCAAAAAGCGGCGAAAGGTATTTTGATAAGAAACCTTGATACTTGCCATTTTTTCTAGCAAAAATTGTGGATGGCTGATGTAGAATATAACGTTTTTTAACCGTGATGCGAATATTATTTAAATACTTGAAAAAAGTTCCACCTTTTTATATACTGTATCTGAAGCTTACGAATCCTTTCTAATTATAACTACGTAACATGATGTACTATAATGTTACATAAAGACTTGGCGTGATTTATACAATAGGTTTTTGTTTTTTTTTTTAATTATTTATATGGTAATTAAATACTTTAATATAAAACAAAATTTTATCAGTGTTGTACTGGCTACCATATATACAGTACAAAAATTCTATTAAATTATATACCGAGAACTTCTTTTAAATGCATTTCTTAAAATTATATAAAGAATTTTTTTTATTAAAAGTTTTATATACTTGGAATCAAAAATATAAAATATGTATTTAAAAATAATAATTTTAAATAATTTTTTTATAAATTTATTCAATTAATTTTTTTAATTTATTTATTTTATAAAAATTACTAATATAAAATTATAACTTTAATTTAATTAAAATTTTATATTTTATATTATTTGTAATAAAAGAAAACAATTATTTTACCAAATTTAAACTTAACTTTATTATAATATATATTTAAAACAAATATAATTTTATTTTATATTATTTAATTTGATTTAATTAAATTTAATTAAATTTTATAAATTTTATATTATATTTTTAATTAATTTATATATTGATATATTTATTAATTTTAATTAAAAAAACAATAATACAATAAAATTATAATATTAAATTAAATATTTTTTTAAATAACAAAATATATATTAATAACTTTATATAATTTTTAAATTTTTAATATTAAAATATCATGTTTATATAATAAAAAAAACTTTTTTTACTGATTTTTTTATCAATATATTTCAAAGATTTTTAAGAGATTTAAAAATTTAAAAAAACAAAAAAAAAAAAGTTTTTAATTTCTTTATTATTTCTTTAGTTTTTTATTTTTTTTATTTTTATTTTCTAAAGAATTTTGTTTATCTTAATTTGATTTTAATTTTTAATTCTATTGGATTTTTTGAAAGATAATTAATTAAGTTTACAAATTAATTAACTATAGAAAAAATAAATAAAATATATCTTTTTATATATTTTTAGTTATATAATACTAAATTAATAATATAATTATTCTTAAAAAAATTAAATGGCTCTTAATTAAAAGAGTAATATAAGAATATTATATAAAAGTTAAAGTTGTAAATAGAAAAGAAATAATTAAAAGTAATTACAAAATTCAAATCATATTTTAATCTGATAACAAATTAAAGTAACAATATTTATTTAAAAATAATTAAAGAAAAAAATTTTAAAACTATTTATTAATTAAATAAAACAATAATTTTAAAAAATATAGCTTAAAAAAAAATCAATAATAGAAAACTAATATTCTTTCTAATTAAAATCTTTTAAATATTTTTGAATATTATTGCTTTAATAAAAATTAAACAGTTTGATTAATTACAGATAATAAGAAATAAGTATATTAACAATTATAAAAAAAATTTGAATTTTGTTTACTAAGATGATTTTTTCAATAATAGTTAAAATAAATAATAATAATTTTTTTTTTTTTTGATTTTTTCTTTTTATATATATATTTGTTTTATTTTTTTTTATAATAATAATACATAATTATTTTTTTTTATATAGTTTTTATAAAAAAGAAACAACATAATTTAAATTTATAATTATAATTATAAAGGTAATTTATAGATTTTATTCTTATTAAAAGTTTTGAATTTTAATCTTATAAATTATATATAGAAGTTTTAATTATTAAAATAAGTTAAATTAAAAAGATTTACTTTATATATATTCTTATATTTATAATAATTTTATAATTTAATAAATAAATAATTCTAATCTGATTATAAATTAAAAAAAAATAATAATAAATAAATAAATAAATGATTTTAATTTATAGCTTAATTAAAAATAATAAATAATAATAATAATAAATATATAAAAAAAAACTTTTTCCCACTTACTTCTACTTAGTCTGAAGATTTTCTTTTTAGGAAATTTTCTCCTCTTCCTTCTTTGCTTCTCTTCTTCTATTAAAGATAAAATTCTATAGCAGATGAAGTCTGAGATATATTGATACCATACAAGGCTCTTCCAACTGTCTAATGTTATATCTAAAGAAGCACTCTTGCTTAGAAAAACATAAACTAATCAAAGACCTATATATGACAAAAGTCTAAGACAAAGAAAAGAAAGGTTTTAAAGAGGTCAACCTTTTCTATAGCGAGACTTTGTATACACCTGGTTTATAAGCAAGAGGGCAATTTTTCTTTTTTCCTTTTCCCCTTTCCCCAACTTCCTTTTTTGCTAATGAACTGTTTTCTTTTCTCCTTGAAGATTTTTTTTCTAGATCTCTCTTTCCTTACTTTATAACTATTTTATTAATCCTCTGGAATATCAACATCCCTATCTTGGTTAAGTATATATCCTACTTAAGTTAAAGCTACTTTTGTCAAGAGGTATAAACCTCTTAATAAAAATCTCTTTTCTTGTTTAAAAAAGTTTAACTTGAAAAAGGCTATGATGAAATTATTTTGATTAGAAGTTGTGATTTTCATACAAAAGTTGTCAAGAGTATTTTCAATAGTTGTTAATCTTTATACTGAAGTCTGAGAATATATGAAGAGATATAGTAAGTTATTGAAGATAAAATTTTCTAATACAATAGGCCATATATATAAAGTTTTGCATAGCTAAGCCTTGGTCCTATTTGAAATATTTGATCAGAAGTATATATTAGACAAATACTCATATCCTAGATATATGATATTATCATTATCTATATATACTCAAAAAGAATTTTTATAGAATTGGTCTTTTTGTTTATTTTTCTAATTCCTATCTACACCAAAAATCATAATCAACTTACTTTCTTCAAAAGATTGGTGCAAAATGATTATGTCATATTGGGAACAAGACTCCTAATATAAGAAAGTCCCATAAGCAATATCATGATAGCAAACTAGTTTCCAGGCCTAGCATATTTAAAACCTGATTTCCCTAGTTATATCAAACAACTCCTATTTTTTTTCCTAGTGAGCACATATACTGTACCAGTTTATAATATAACTAGTAGCTAGTTATTATTTACTTTTTCTCTTTCCCCATTGGAATTTTTAGAGATCTGTATATGTCACCTTACATTGTTATACTAGATTATAATTAATTTACATATATAAAGATTGTTAATATAATAACAATAAATGAAAAGTTTAATAAAGTCCTATATTTAATACCTATTAATAACTAAAAAAAATAATAATAATAATAAATAATAATAATAAATATATAATTTTAACTTAATTATAAATTAAAAAAAATTATTATTATAAATTATTATAAAATTTTTTTATATAATATAATTAAGAATACATATTAATTTTTTTTTTTTTTAACACAACTGGCATATGCCTTGTTTATTAAATATTGATTTGTAAAACTTTAAATTCGCTTAATACAAATTTGTCTATATGACTATTTGCTAAACTACCTAAGACTATGTCTATCGGCCGGCTTGTTGCCCCTCATTTATCTGATCTTACCAGCACTAATACAAGCATTAACCCTAATAAAATTGGTGAAGTGCTAACATGCCTAGATGTACACCTTTAAGTTCCACCTACCATCCGATGAATAGAGTCTTAAAAGACCATATCTAAATACAGTCAGCTGCGGTCTAGTCATATCCAATGAAAAAATTCATTGGCTCTAACTAGATCAAAAAAATCTTTTTTAGTTGTATATACAAAGAAAAAACTACTAAAACCTGTTTGTATGTGAATTTTTGTGTTCTATAAATGTGTGAGATCTACCTATACTCCTTACGCCTTCTTGCAGATCTTTGTACTATCCGAAAAATCTCCAACTAGGATTGGCCATTTGCTTCCTGAT